CTATTTCATTTAATAAATGTTTTGTTTGATATATAAGTTGTTCGGGTTTTTTTATCTGAAAAAAAATCGATATTAATTTCTTGACGACGTAATATATTGATGATAGTATATTAGGGTATGGTGAAACACGTCAAGTTTAATCTGTAGGGGAGGGGTAGTGTGAGGGTCAAGATTTAATATTCAGCACCATTTTGACAGCCAACTTAGTTACGGATTTCAAGTGCAAAATATGTTTTATAGAGTTTCTAAAATGAAACTTTCTATGATCATATTAGCTCGAATCACTTTAGGAAATGTCCCTTATGTTTCGTTTACAGTGATTTATTCTATCTTGGATTAATAACATATTTGAAAAAGTATATATCACAGGTATTACTACAGTATGATGTAGGTCAGTATTTTATAAACCAAGATGTTTTCATGAATAGTATATTAGTATATCTTGAATTTTGTTAAATAATGTTTCAGTATGTTTCTTAACTGTGTGATTTTACTTACATATGGTAATGATAGCATACTGTGCTATGATGAAACATGCATTATTTATAAGAAATATAAATGGAGATTTGTATTAGATGTTCCAACATACTTGTTAGAAACTGATATTCATGGGGTGTAATTTATCATAAAAGACTAAGCTAAACATATAATTATCTGCAATGTTATCTTTAGGGTGAGCAGAGTAGAATTAAGTTGTTAGTGAATTATCGACGTAAGATGAGTATAAGTTATATTTTCCAAATGACCTTGTCTAAACTTTTGACCAATTGCTATACGTTGGGCAATTTAATCCCACTGAGTAAGGAGCATAAAATTGTAAACTTGTAAAGTACGATGAACTTAGCGAAATAAAAGAAGTGTACACTAACATTTTCGTTTATAAGCTATATTAAACATTTTACCTACTGAACTGAACTGAACAAGTAGTAATATGGACATAATGTACAAAAGTTGTATAAAAGATAATTTAGACGAGACAATCTGGTATTTTATAAACTAAGATGTTTGCATAAATAGTATGTTAGTATATCTAATTCTCGAAGTTTTATTTAATAAGTATTTCAGTGTGTGTATGTGATAATTGTTAAGTCTGAGGTTCTACTTAGTTTTGTGAATAAATGTTTCAGTATGTGTGACAACAGTCTTGTTTAGAATTTGTGGATTTACTTACATACAATGATGATATAATATCGTGAATACACATTTAGTGTTTTTATCACTACATATAGAGAAAAAACCAGTAAATTATGTTTAAGGACTTTAAAATTCAGTCAGATATAAAAACTGACCATCACTAGTTAAGTTAAAGTATGGTGAATATTAAATTTACAAGATACTGTTTTTGAATTTATGTAGAAAATATATGATTATGTATATATATATATTAAGTTTAATGTAAATACATGTATAAGATTTATGTTACTAATGGATGTGTAATCATAAATAGCGACTCATACAATGCATTATAATTGAGTTATTTAACTTTGTTTTCATAAAATTTTTCTGTCATATTGAACTTTGAATTTTACTGTCACTCTCTCTTAGTAAAAGGTCAACATACCGTCAACTGTGATGAGTCAGACTAAAATATCCAATAGGGTTGAAGTGTCTACAGATAGAAGCGGAAAGAACACCTATATGTAGTACTTCATTTAATGTTCAAAGTGAAAATATCTACAGAAAGGTAAGAATATAATTTTCTACAATAGTAATGGTTAAACATAGTTATTTACGTAAATCATTTTAAACTAAACTTTAATGGAACAAATCAACCTATAAAGCTAAACATGAACATTATTGTATATTATTTAGATATTTAAATATGCATCCTTTTCAGGATGAATAGATGTTATACAATATATTAAATAAAGAAATGAATTAGCAATAAGTGTTTTACTTATAAAATTTCAGAAAATGCAAAAAGTACTTAAAAACCACAATCAACTGTTCTAACTGTCTTGTTCAATATTTATGAAACGATACATTAGATGTGGCAAAACATTTCAGCAGTACGTTAAATGTGTTAAAAACACTATTTTCTTATAAGAACCCATGTAATACAGTTAAATATATAAATAAACTAGAGAGGCACTCAGTAGAGCACATACCTCCACCACGCATCATTGATCATATTCGGCCCTATCGTTAGTGGTGTACATCAGATATTAGTTTGCGTATTGTGTTATCGTTAGTGGTGTATAACATATATTAATTTCTGTATTGTACTATCGTTGGTGGTTTATATCAGATACTAATTTGTGTATTGTGCTATCGTTAGTGGTGTATATCAGATATTAAATTGTGTATTGTGCTATCGTTAGTAGTGTATATCTTATATTATTTGTGTATTGTACTAACGTTAGTGGTGTACATCAGATATTAATTTCTGTATTGTTCTATCGTACATCCATTTACATTTGATGATTCTGAAGACGGTGTTGATGGTTTCATGGAGTAATGATGCTCTTCTTCCAGATTCACACACGAGTATGATGATGACTTATGAGGTAATGATAAAACACTTGGATCATGATAACTCTCATGGCTTGAGTTCTGAGGTTCTT